TCCCCGTCACCGCTCTTGTCTGGGCTGACTTGATTTTTGGTACTTTTTAGCTTAAAGTTTTAGATGTATCCTTGTATTTATGGTAATTATCATTTTATAATGCACTCAAAGCACACATTTCTGCTCTTGAGACTCAAGAAAAAATAGACATTGTAACTTGTCTGGTTATTTCGTTAGAGGCGCTGAAGTCGGCAATGCTAAATTGTAGAATTTTTTGGACATGTATGAATGGAAAAAAAATCAATATGAAAAAAGGGCTCTACAAAGCTGTCGAGCATTTGGAATATGAGCAACATAACATCGATGGAGATACTCCGAAAAGATCGTATTTGCGCAGATAATAGAAAGTTGTATTTTTGCTACTTTATCCATCTGACACAGTTCGCTAAGAAGTAATTCCTCCTTGTAAACGTTTATGTGTATTTACACACTTTTGTAGGTTAAAAAAAAAAAATCGCATATCTTACTTGGTTGTAGACCTATGCAGGCCTCCACAGACACAGCATAATAATTCATAATCAAATGCAGAGTATCTTTCTCTGATTTAATGGTAAAGCATCTGTGGTTTAATGTTTACCCCCAAAAATGCAGATGTGAACCTTTCTTCCCTAAAACTCGAGTATTACTACCTGCGCAGATTTAAGATTTCTTATGGTAAAAGACAGGATGTTCATAGTCAGTTTAACACAGATTTTGGAGAGATCTGTCGAGCTGTTTTTAAATAAACAATCATTTATTCGTAAGTATGTAACTAAAATATTACAACTCTACAAACACTTGTCTAGAACAAAAACCAAGGCACAGAAATTAACCATTCTAACGCAGAATAAATCTTAAGACATTGAGCTTTTAGAACATCAGTGTAATGGTTTACTGTGTGGGATAGGGAAGAAGATATATCGTTTCAAACATAGATCCCCTAAAAAATGTGAATTTCTCAACCGGCACTAAAAAAGTCCATCCACGGCTCATTAGCCCAGTGACCCTGAGCGGGGGAGCTCTGGCTGACTGCTGAGTCACGTTTACTAAAAGTAACAGAATCGGGTGAAAAGTGACGCCGTGCAGCCTCCAAAGTCGCATCTGGAAGACACAGCGATAGTCAGCTATCGGTATACTTCACAGATAAAAATTTACAGCTCTAAGTCCTCAATATGTTCTAACTTTCATTCAGCAAGCTCATTGTTAGGAGTTGGAAATAACCAAGTGTCACAGGAAACTAAGTTAGGACTAAAGGCTGTATGAGGCAATACTTGGATCCCTTGCTTTTGTATATATACATATATATATATATATACATATATATATATATATATATATATGAGCTTTTGCCAATAGGTGGGTACCTAAAATGTAGCACAGAGGGTTGATTATAAAGTTTTGAATATTTCGTTTTTACTTGAACTTTTGTATTCATGTATATCTCCTTCCACTAAAACATGTATTTACAGACCTACAGACGGCATGCTAAGCTGTGTAACTGGCATTGCGTAACGTCAAGTCAAATTTTTTCGGACATAAATTATAACTATGATGAAACATTTTTGTAGAATTTGTACATGCAAATTTATTTTAACAGTTTTCTTATTGATTTAATTTTCAAACATAAGCATGAAGAGCCTATAAAATGGTGAGGATCAGAGGAACAAGAAATTCTGAATACCGTTGTGTTTGCATTTGTGTCATCATAGTTATATCAGAAAGAAATGAAAAACTTTCCGTTTTCATATTTTAATTTGTTTTATGAAAATGTAGGCAAACAACGATTCAGAAGATTCAGTTTGACTAACATTACTAACAATGCTTGCTAATGATGAAAAAATTCCACTTTATTCACATTTTATTATGAATCTCTGCAAAATATCTAATATCTCTCGAACATAACCATGATGACACAAAATGAATAAAACCCTGAATGTAATTTACGGAACATAAAATTATTTTAATAGTTTCCTCATTGCTTTATTTCAAACATAAGCATGAAGAGCATATATAAAATCAAGGAAAAAAGAAATTCTGAATGTCTTTGTGTTTGCATTTGTGTCATCATAATTATGTCCGAAAGAAATGAAAAACTTTCCATTTTTATATTTTAATTCATTTTTTGTTGTTGAAATTTTGGCAAACAAAGATTCAGGAGATTTAGTTCGACTTATTCATGCTAATGGTGAAAAAATGTCACTTAATTCACATTTTACTATGACTCTAATGCAAAATACCAAGTACCTTTCGAACATAACCACAATGACACATAAATAGTCATGATAGTGGATAAATGTTTGTCTCCATTTTGGAACATATAATGTGGACACGACCAAGAGGATGCCAACCATATCCTTCAGCACTGCCCGCGCTACGCCACCCTTCGCGCACAGACGTGGCAGAATGTGGCTCCCCTTGAGAGAGAACTCTATGGCAGTCTTTCAGAGTTGAAGCGCACTACACAGTTTGTACGCGACATCGGACTGACTGTCTAGCTGCTGTCATCGAGAACGAGGAGGAGGAGGAGGAGGAGGAGGAGGAGCATGTAGATCTACCACTACTTGACCATTGGAACGCTATGCGATGTTAACCATTACTTGGTTTAAATTTACGAACATAACTGTAACATGTTTAGATTTGATGACGACATAAAAAACTTAAATGGATTCATCTCATCCATCGTTATTCTTCTGGCCATCTTACATCGCACAACAATACGCTTTGAATGGATCGACAGGAACAATGCACGTTCCTCCACCCGTATTACTTCTTGTTTTCTGATTGGCTCTTTCGAACATAAAAAATGATGACAGAGCTAGAGGCGTCGCGGGATTTCCGTTTTCTGCAAAATAACGTACGGTCACAGCCTCGGAATCAGTCAGGGCAGAGAGTAAACATTGAACGATATTATGCTCATTCCAGGGCCCCAAAATGGCTGATAGAAACGAAGTCACAGGGAATCGAAATTAGTTCTCAGCGACGCGTCATGTTTTTCATTCTAAAAATACATAGATTTCAGAACTAAAAATAATTCTTAAATTTCTTCTGATAGCGCGACTGCTATTTCTATGCTCCATAGCTGAAACACCATATTAAGCACAACATAATATATACAGTTTTCAAAGCTGTAGCACCATTTTTATTGGAATAGGAACGGATTTTGTAAGGTATATGAAGAAAACCCCACCTATTGGCAAAGGCTCATATGTGATCTTCACCATTTTATATGCTCTTCACGTTTATGTTTGAAAAAAGGAAAGTGTTAAAATAATTTTGTATGTACAATGTGTCATCATAGTTATGTCCGAAAGAATATGACTTCAAGACGTTACGTAACGCCAGTTACACAGCTTAGCATGCCATCTATAGGTCTGTAAATACTTGTTTTTGTTGGAGGAGATATACATGAATAGAAAAAGTCAAGTAAAAAGCGAAATATTCAAAACCTTATAATCAACCATCTGTGCTATATTTTAGGTACCCACCTATTGGCAAAAGCTCATATATATATATATATATATATATACACGTTTGTTTGGTGTATCTTGGCTTATATATATATATATATATATATATATATATATGTGTGTGTGTGTGTGTGTGTGTGTGTATATACACACACACATATATACATGATATATACAGAGTCGTGGCCTTTGCTTTGTGGGGAATTGCATTGTTGTGGAGGAGCATTGTGTGAGAATCTTATCTTTGGTCTCTGCTCATCAACAGCATTTTTTAACCAGAGAAGTATCTTTTGTACATAGTAAGAAGGAGTAAAGCGTCATAATAGTATTACATGGCATGATAACAACGGCAATAAGACTACTGAGTACGGCCTTAAAAACCTCTTTGTGGATGCAAAACAACATGCCTGTCTCATATTTCATCTGTCCATGCACATTCCAGCTGTTTTGTTAGAATTCTAAAAGAGGGAATCCATGTTTTGTCTCCTAAGACAATGTCTGTAAGTGTTGCTTGGGCCCGTGGCATTCAAACACATTGAACAATTCTGTGGCGCATTTTATGCTCCTTGGTTAGTAAATGAGCCATCCAACTGGCACACACTTTTTAACATGTAATTCTAAAGGAATAATATTTTGCACCAACCAAACCAACTCTAAGTTCTCGTATAGAGGTATGGGATTCTTGCCCAATGCTTCAACCATTTT